TGTTCGTGACTTGGGAGTTTGGGCGGGTGGACATGCTCTGCGGTGAGATGGTCCCGCATGAAATGACCAAAGCCTTTGTTGTGTGGAGTAGTATATTGACCTTTTTTTCGTGGTATCTCCCGAGCTCAAGGATTTTTTTTTTTTGTTGAGGGTGTGAGTAGGTAAGGTTGTAGTGTAGTAGGTAGGTACTGGTGTGAGTGTCGCTTTTGCGGCGGACCGCTACCTTAGTCGCCTTGGGCTCGTGCCCGTGTGAGACACGGATAGTCAGGCGGTTATATGGGCAGTTGGCAGGTGAGTGAGCATTGAGCGCAGACAGACAGCATTGTGAGCGCCGCGCCCCCCCCCCCCCCACCGCGCGGCGGCCGCGCCGTTCGTCCGGGTCTCCGCCCCAACCTGGGAGATCTGTTAGGCTGTTTGTTGACTTGCTTACCTTTTGGTCTTGGGCGCCAGCTACGGCACCTTATCGGCCGTGTGGAGCATCTCTCCCCGCCAGATTCCGTCAGAAGGGGGCAAGACGGCTCGGTAGATGACGAGAAGCGTACAAATAAGGAAGTGAACCAGGGGCAAAAGAAAAGCATGTGATTGAGGCTTCAGGTTGTATGAGAGCGTGGAGACGTACCTGGCTTACCTGGATGGTATCAGCTAGTGTAGATGGGAGAATGCTGATGAGCTTCTTCAAACGTGGGGAGAGAGATGGCGAGGATGAGTTAAGCCCTGAGCAATCACCGCGTGATGACCGACACAACTGTCTTGGTCCAGCTGGCCTAGCAGTATTTTAAGGTTATCCCTAGAGACCAAGTTATAATGATCAGTTATTCACAGATATTGGCAAGTACAAGGTTTGTTGAAGTGAAGCTTATTGTTATTGTCATTCTTGCCCTTTCGATGGGCTTTCCATTTTTCTAGTCTAAACAGTTTCTCGTTACTGTTATAGTGAACGCCTTCTTGCAATGCCTAGCCCCGCAAACGCCTAAAAATGTCCCATAAGTGTGAGGTTGGCGATTGCTCTCATTTTCAGTCGAAGCTGAAGTGTCGAAGGCGCGTCACCCTTCAACGGCTTGGCTATACCGTGATGACGATGGTTTCAACAGAGCCAACCCAAGACCAGCTCGTCTCTACCAATCTGTTGAAGTGAAAGTGAAGCACTCCCACGTCATCCGCCTCGATTTGTTTGTTTTTAAACAAGCCTCCCAAAGCCTCCCAAAAGTCATTAAATTGCCCCATCCATCATCTCGTTCATGCAGCGTCGGCGCTGGCAACGGGGACAGCAACACGAGTGAGCTGATCTCCCGCACGAACAATGCGCTCGCCACTTGAGTCGGTGACGGTGGTCATGTCCTTGTTCTCGTACTGGGCACGCTTCCAGATCTCAACCTCACAACCTCCACGGAGAACACCGACACGCATGGTAGAGAGCAGGTTGTGGGCGGCGTTCGAGTGGAGGTAGACACCACCGTTGAAGATGGCAGTGGCATCCTTTCCGAGTGCGGAAGAAATGAGAGCCTTGCCACCGGGATGTTCCTGAATGAAGTCGGTCACGTCGTGAATGACACCGGCAATGGCAACAAGACCTCTGCCGTTCTTGGCCTGTGCCTTGAAGTCGTCCCAGTCGATGACAGGTAGCTGCTCCAAGGGAACACCCCAGTCGAGCTTCGCGCGCTTCTGGTCGAGCTTCTTCTGCAACTGCTGAACACGGCCCTTCTCGATCTCGTTCTGGCGGAATTGCTTGAGATCGGTGGCGAGGCCAAGCTGCTTCCAGGTCCAAATGCACCACTTAGTGGGGTCGTACTGCCACCACTGAATGGCGTTGCGGTAGTCGGAGGGGAACTCGTGGTGGAAGTTGTGGTATCCCTCACCAAGGGTGACGAGGGCAGTAATGACGTGGTCACGAGGTGAGTTGCGGTCGTCGAAGGGCTGGTCACCGAGCCAGTGAGCCAGGGAGTTGACGCAGAAGGTAGCCTGCTGAACGACGAAGATACGGAGAATTCCGCCGTAGACGTAGCCACCGAGCCAGTCACCCCAGCCGAGACCGCAGAAGACCGTGGGGAAGATGACACCCATGGCGAGGACGCACTTGATGAAGTGAACGTGCTGCCACATGACGACGGGGTCCTCGTTGAGATCGGAAATGTCGGTACGACCCATACGCTTGGGATCCTGCTTCATGACCATCCAACCGATGTGGCTGTACAGGAGGCCCTTACGAACGGAGTACGGGTCCTTGTCGGTATCGGTGTAGCGGTGGTGGGCACGGTGTCCGTGAGACCACCATCGGATGGAACCCTCAACGGCACCGGCGCCGACAGCGGCGAGGTAGATTCTGAGAGGGAGGCTGGCTTTGTAGGAACGGTGAGCCCACAGACGGTGGTAGCCAGCGGTGATACCGAGACCGGTGTTGAAGTAGTAGATAACGGCGAAGACAGCAGTCTTCCATGTAAGAGGAATCCAGTAGGAGCAGATGAATCCAATCAAGGGGACAATCAAAATAAAAGTCGTGTTGAGCCAGTTGACGTGCTTGTACCAATTGCTCGCGGTAATAGGCTGAGTTGAGCTATTCTACACGTTAGTGGCCATGTCATATTGGTTTTATTGAGGAAGCTGTGAACGTACATGTGAGGCTTCTTGATATCGTAGGCCTTGGCACGGGTAGGAACGTAGTCGGAAGTTCCATCGGGGAAGTTCTCGGCCTTGGTGACCTTGGCGTCGGAAGATGAAGTCGTCGCCGACATCTTGAGGAACGGAGCCAATAGGCTACGAATCTGGGGATCGTAGGTTGTGATCGGAAAACGAGTAATCCGAGATGTCTCTTGGTAGACAACTCCAACGATGCTTGGTGAAGAAGCAACGTTTGCAATCAGACTTGCTGATCAGAAGTCCAAGTGGGTAGTGGACTCTCGAGGGAAGAAGAGGTCTGAAGGAGGAATAACAGAGTGGAAGGGGTGGGTGAAGAGTTGTGAATTATATAAAGGGAAAAGGATAGATTGAAAGGGCCCCAGTAAGGAGGGAACAGGTACGGAGGCCGGGGTACCTTTGGGCGAGGTGTCCGCCACCCACCAGGTTCAAAATCCCAGCAAACGAGAGAGTGGAAAGGGTGGGATGGTGGTGGGGAGGGGGGTCAGTGAATCAGATCAGTTAGTTTAGACCCAGGTCAAGTCACAATCAGCCGAAAAAATGCAAAGACAGATGGGTTTCGTGGGCCGTGGGGTTAGACTTGACTTGACTTTTTTTTTTGCCCTCGTTGCTGGCACGCCGCACCGCTGGATGGGAGGAAAGGGCGGGACCCTCTCGATCTGGGCCCGGGATTTCCAGGCGGAAAATGGGCAGATGGGAAGGGGGAAGAAGAAGCTTCCTCGCGAGACCCGCCCACAGGATTCGTTGTCCTGCCTCCTTCCCGAGAGGTACCGGGCGACGCGTGTATCCGAATGGCGGGAACACTGAGGGCTCTAATCAGTACTTCGTACCTTCCATTCCCTTCAAACACCTTGCGGAGAAGGTACCAGCAGGCTGCGCTTCTCGACGATGCAAAAACATCAGGTTGACAGGGCAGGAACGAGAGAAATGTACTTTCCCCCATTGCCTCCTTCCTGCCACAAGCCGGAAGGTGAAAGGTACCTCACTTCTAACCTGGGGATGGGCAAAGTCCATGTCCCCCTTGCAGGTGCACCAATGAGTGTGTGTGTTGCAAACCGACCAGAATAGGAAGTGACCTTCTCCTTGCCTCACATCTATCACAGTAAATAGCCATGCATAAGCAGCATAAGCAGGTATTTTTCTTGACTTTGGGTAGTAGCTACACCCAATGATTACCAAATCGGCATACGAACCACCCAGTTACACTTCGGTACTCTGCGAGTCTGCAAATTGTAAGCGATGAATGATCGGTGTGCGTTACGACTGCCTTGTGATTCAGAGACCTCGAGACTTGGACACTTGAATTCATGCAATTTCTCAGTCTGTCCGCCTCTGGTCTGACTTTTGGGCATCCAACAACTTACATCCTAACCTCACGCCCACTTGCTGAACATCTTCATCCATCAAAGACGTACCTTTCTTCGTTGGGATTGAAGCTTGGAAAGATTCAACTCCTATTAAGATCCCGCAGAGGAGCCCTTCGAATTGAACCATGGACCAACAAAAACCGATCCAATGTCATCAATATCGACGCGAACAGGAAGAAACATGCCATGAACAGCCCGACAGTCGATAATCAGAAGCAAATTCGGAGCCTGCCAACGCATAGGAACACTCCGCACAGCCGAGGATAGGACGATGAAAGGCCCCAGATCAGGTCACACTTTCCGTTGGCTTTTTACGACACCCTGTCTGTCCCGCAAGCTCTGGGGTTTGTTCACCATGCCGTAAAGTGCCTTGAGGTTGTCAATCTGCAATGGGCGACTGGGCTGGTAAGCACGCACGAGATGTGGTCCGAAAAAAATGTCCCGGCTCCCAACAAGTTCCCCAACGCTTTTCAATATGACGGCCCGTTCATTGGCGGAAGCAGGGGGCTGCCCCTGCCATGTGGCCGCCGCTGGGGCGGGGCGGATGGGCGGCTGGAATTGACCATTCTCCATTAGGAAGTCAGCTCCACATTCTACCTCCAGATCCCACGACTCCAATGTGTCTCCAGGGCTGAAATGAAGACCTGCCATTCTCTCAGAAATCGCACCAGACATGTTCATACTTCGCATCAACCATGTTGGCTCGATCATCATTCCCAGACTGAGGATCGCTTCTTATTCCGACGCTGTCCCCAGATCCCCATGACGGTGGCAAAGTCTCGTACATCACTGTCGGCGCTCGGCTCCTAGGCGAGTTACGACGCAATCGAAAGACGTTTCGACCATCATCGAGCGCCGTGAGCCTTTGGGTCCTTGGACTTTCACGTTCCCTTGGCTCCGTAGTTTCTGTCTCACCGTACTTGCGGCTGTAACTTTGTACCTGCAGCTGCCCATCACACTGCCGATTAGCACATCTCATCAATAGCTCTTTACCGCCCTTCAGGCGATTACAGGCAACGACCACTTCTCAGACCGGAGCGCATCACTTACTTTTGTTACTTTTGAGAAACACTCACCAGTCGCAAGCTCTGAATTGGCTGGTTATCATACCAACTGGTTGATGAGCATGTCTCCAACAGTCCAACTCTCTGTTCACTATTGCGCCCCCGTTGGATCATGCGCAGAAACTTACATGCCGAAGCAGCAGAAAGGCTCGGAAGATAGAACCACCAAAAAAAGGGAATAATCAACAGTGGCGGTGGCTTGTGCAATCCACGTTCGCCCTCAACATGTTCCCCACCAGAGCTCCATTCAATGACGGAAGTCTCTCGTCGCCCCCGAGCTTTCCTGTGGTAAGGCTCCCCCATCGACAGGGGCTGGCCTTGTCTCTTTTCCATTCCTTATCGCCGAGGCGATCACATCGCCCAACTCAGGATTACGCCAACTGCCTCACCCACTTTCCTCCATGGTCACTCTCTCGAACATTCTCGGTCAGCGGCAAGAGAACACCGATGACACCCACGAGCCAGCTCCTTTTCGGTGTGCCAAAAGTATCCTCGGCAACTCCAGCTCCCAGGTCCATATGCGACACACCCAGTCCGGCCCTTGATTTCGCGTTCCCCGGTGATCTTGTTAAAGAGAAAGACGACATCCGCTCATCCCACTCCGGCATCCCGGCCCATCCCCAACAGAAACAGGACCCTGCCCCGCAATCCTCCGCCCCAGTGCTGCAGGACACAACAGGGATGAAAGTTATCTTTGCCTCGCTATCGTCCCGAGGTTGTCTGCCCGTGATTATTTGGCGAACAATCTTCTGGCCATGCACATTCTCGATGCTCCCTCTACAGCGGTGGCAAGGGTCACGTGGTTTCTCACCATCATACACTTGAACATTCAAGGCCCACGACGGTCATTTGCAGTGTACAATCGTAAAGGGACTCCAGGGCACTGTCTTCCAATCTTCAGCTGGTTGGGCTGACTTATTCTGGAAGATTTCTATGCTAACCCGATCTGGCGAGGCGCGCCCTCTCGCACTTGGCCGACGCCACACCCGATCCGCCCTGCCAATCCCCGTCATCACCACAGGAGCAGAGAGATGCACTTTGGCTGCTGGCACTCTTCTTTCTCATCCCATCCTTTTTGCAGCCGCTGCTGCCCAGAGCTCTCTATCCGTACCTTAATATCCTTAGCCGCACCTGAGTTGTGTGAGGCGACCCAAGCTCCAAGCTCCCTTCCCGAGCTTGCCCAGCTTGACGCCCTTGTCACACACCTACCTTGCCGTACTTACTCCAAAAACTCGGGAAAGGGGGATCAGCATACTTTCACACACCGCTCTGGTCTTTCCAAAGTCCAGACTCGCCGTTTTTTGCTCAAACGTACACTAGCATCTAGGCCGGTTTCCCTTGAAAAGACTGCCAAAGCAGTGGCAAATCGACCGCGGAAAGCCCCAAGTGGGTGACAAAATCGATTTCCTCTCAGGACATCCGAGCACCCCTTTTCAACATCATTCAAGCATCACTAACTTAGGAAATAATATTTTTTTAAAAAAATAGCTTCTAAGGCCTCATTGTGACCTCTATACGGAGTAGAAATTTTGATTCTATCAAATAGTGGTTGTAGTGGTATAGGCGAAAAGGGTATTTCTGAGGATGTATGGCCGGAAATCGATTTTGTCACCCACTTGAGCCCCTTGAGCTCACGGAGTACCTCCACATCTTATTACATGACTTACACTGACTATTGGTCTCGTTGTAAGCTCTGCGCGGGCTAAAGGGTCCTGGTACAGGAGCCACTCCAAGAAATACCTATGTCCTAGTGTACACTAATAAGGGGCAATTGCATACAGAGATATTTGCAAAGGGTGAGCTTTTCTAGGCACTACCGTGCCTAGAATAACTTCGGAACCCCAATTGATCTCGTCGTACAGCTAACTAGACAGTAGCCATCAACGGCAATCACCCATGAGTGAATAAAACAACTGACCGCTTGTATGTGGCTGATACAACTGATAGGAAAGATGGGCGATCCATCTTGTCACTGGGGTCCTCACTTTGGACAAACCATTCACTTGAGCTGCAAAGTCCTTTACGCATACATGATTACGTTTCTCGTCCAACTATGGTGTTCAAAGCCAGAGCTCTACTTTCGATTTCACGATATCCCACAATGCAAGTCGATTCACGTCCCGAGTCGTGGTGAGGATCGAGGTTGACCCAATGTCGTCTTCTATTTCACGTACAGTGTTCCCCGGACCTCTACACCAAGGCTATGCCGCAAAAAAAACCAAAAAAACGTTGTGACCACCAACTCGATTCGTATGCCGGCAGCATCACCGTCAAGAAACAGAAAAGTAGAAACGGCGCCTTCCTATGCCTAGACAATCAACATGCGCCTATGCAAAATCGCCTTCAGTTTTCCCCCACTCCTAGTCTTACATCATATCATTTCTGGGCATCTGTTGTCGTTGCTGTCGTCGCCGTTACGAAGTCATCATCAAGGGATGTCTTCTCTCGCATCGTTAGCTCGTCAGTATTGATATGTGCCGCGCCAACCCCTTTGAGTTCTGGCGTATCTGCCCCTTGAGCTACCGTAGGACCAGCTGTAGAGGGTACCTGAGTAGTAGTGAGTGGCTCCGCCGTTGCCGCCTCTTGTGTCGTAGATTCGAGCCCTGGTTCGGCCGTCTGAGCGGCATCGGTTTCGAACACAGTTTTAGCGACTGTCAGGTCGTCAATAGCTGGCCCCTTTTCTGTCGAGTCCGCTGTCGTGACATTTTGTTGCCCATTTCTGTTCAGTTCTTCGGGTTCTGTTTCCCCCGTCTGTCCGGGCGCTGATTGCCCTGCTGTTCCTATTCCGTTTGAAGAGCTCTCTTGCGTACCTTCAGATTCTCTCACATTTACCTCCTCTTCCTCCACGTTTTCCCCATCTGTTTCGATATCCTTGATCGTCATAGGACTGGCCATTTTAGTTCGTGTCTCAACGGGATTGACAGTAGCATACGCTGCGTCCAACTTGTGACTTCGCAACGTGTTAACTAATCCTTCTCCAATGAGCCTTTTGCCATCTTGTCCTGGCGTATGGTCGAGTTCAGCCCGATCGAGGGCAGCGAGATCGCTGGATAAGGGAGTCCACTGCAATGCTTCCAGCTTTTGTCGGACTGACTTGCTTGTCTCTTCCAATGGCTCGGGCGTGACGACGGAGTCCTTGCTTGTTGTCGGTGTTGCGCTCTTTTGATCATAAACCTCGTCTGCCCCAATGTCGCTGTACGATGGTGCAATATTTCTAGCTTCAGCCCAGCTGGAGACATTACGTCCCATATTAGGCGAGTCGCAAGGCCCATAATGACTTGGCAGCGGGCTAGGGGGAGAGCGGCCTCTAGTGTAGTAATACGGGTCCTGTGAGAAGCCCCTTGTCGGTTCGTCAACGTAAGGTTGGCCCAGGTTTACGTACGACCAGTCGTGAGCTGGCTGAACGGTCTTGACCCTCGCAAAGCCGTGGTTGCTGTCCACGAAGTATTCCTGCATGGTATAGCCATCGTCTACCGAGATTGACGGGGGTGCCATGTCGTGTCCATCCGCAGGCTCGGGAAAGAGGGACATGAGAGACGAGGCCTGTAACCGAAGGCGTGGATCTTCGCTCAGGCAAATGTCTACGATTTGACGATACCAATCTGGAACCATGTATTCGTCTCCGAGCTGTAGCGGTCGTCCTTGGGCCTCGGGCTCATCATCCTGTGCTGCCAATGCCCACAAGACCATGCCCAGTTGATAAAGGTCGGATTTGACGCCGATGTACATGGAGATGCGCTGGTTACTTTCGATGAGAGGCGTTGCTTCTGGAGGCTCCCAGCCCACCGGACAGCCCCTTCTGTTAATGTCAATAATTTTGGCATCATCGTCATCGTCAATGACTATGTTTGAGAGAGTAAAATCGCCCTGCACAAAGCCAGATTCGTGAATATCTGCCAAGCCCTGTACGATTTGGCGTGCCCACTTCTCACGAATCGGCCAGGGCAGACCTAACTCTGAGTCCTGCTTGTTATCATAAATAACATCAATAAGCGCACCATGAACGGCGTAGCTGATGAGCAGTCCCTTGACGTGCTCATCTTCGTCATCAACCACGACACCATAGAACCGGATAATGTTCCTTGAATACCGGAGCCGGTTCAGAGCGTTGATCTCGTAGAGGAACTCGTCAATAGTGTCGGGGCCGGGAATCTCCTTTTTGATGAGTACCTCCCCCCCTACGGACACCTTGTAGACAAAGCCGGACATGTGAGAGTCGAAGACAATGTCCTTTTCTCTTATCCTGCGACACCCCAAGTGTTGGACTTGGCGGAAGGTAGGGTACTGGATGATTTCCTGTCGGATATTAGCACTGACTGATTTTCCTCGGGACCCATCAACTCACATTGACATCTTCAACCACATGTACATGAAGGCGACCTTCCGTGGTTTGGAGTTTCAGGTTGGTGACTGATGGGTAAAATTGTATGTCCTGCAGGCTATCTCTGATGGCTTCGTAGATCTTGGAACTTTTGTCACGTTGAGATTTGGTGTGGAGCAAGTCCATCTCGAGAGAGTTGTCCGGGGCGTTGCGATAGTCGAGAGAAATGGTTACTCTACGCCAGTGGGTTGGAGTCTCTCGGTATGTAACGAAAAACTTCTCTCTCTTGGACTTATCCCGGAAGTGCATGCTGAGGTTGAGAATCCAAACATTTTCGAGCTCATCATGAATCATAGCCTCGTAGTGAGATTGAGATGTCGTTACTGAGTGGGCGTCCGAATTAGATTGAATCTCTTGCGCATGTGATTCGTCTGTCGTGGGTTCTGCTGCAACTTGGGATACCATCTGACCAAGACTGACTTCGGCCTTTTCCTCGACAGGGCTGACGGGGGCAGATGGGGCAGACTGGACCTCGTATGCATTTTCGAAAAAGTCCGGTGCGCTAGCTCGGGGAAAGGATTGTGTCTGTGACGCCGCGCGTGACGACTGCACACGTCTGTCCACTGATAGAGCACGTCTCTCTGCCGGTGAGGGTTCAACTGGTGCGAGGTTGTTTCTACGCTCCGACTGTTGGCGTTTGAAGGTCTGCACGCGAGGAAGTCCGGGCACGACTTTTCTCGAGACTCGACGCACCAGGCCAGTACTTTGCTGGTCATCGGAGTCGGGGTCAGCCTCGGGTTCGGGCTCGGGCTCCTTGGTCTGGAGCGGGCCGACGGATGCCGGGGCCGCATTGTTTCGTCCGAAGAGTTTACGAAGAAAGCTGGTGGACTGATGGCCCGATGAAGGCGGCGGTTCCGCAGAAGACATGTTGGGTTGCGCCATGATAAGTTGAGGAAGATGTACAGCTTGCCAACTCGGTTGGACTTTGGAGGTCGTCAAGGTGAGCCGATCAGGACACTGACGGTGTGAGGTGAGGCTCTAAGCGGTGTGGTTCTGGGGACGAGGTGTTAATTATGGATAGTCCCGCAAACCTGGTCCGGAAGCGAACCAAGCGGGTGACAAGGATGGGCCTTGAAGCGAAAGACGGTCAACCTCCAGCCTGGTTTTGACCGGGCTTGGTGCCAGGTCGGAGCTAAATTGGGCTGGCAGCGGCTGGGATGTGTCCGGGCGCGGGGAACGCGAGACAAGAATGACGGCGGGCGTCTTTTGCGGACGTTAAATTGTTGCAATTCGAGCGCGACGGAGTAGATGCAGGCAACCGTGGGCAAGATGGGACATCAGACGCTGTGACGAGATAGGATGGAAACGTGCAGAGAAGCAAGGGCGAAGATGACCATGTTCAGACGAGAATGACGGTGGCGGGGGTCGAGGGATTGGCCGGTACTGGACGGGCCTTTGGAGGAATCTCAAACCCCCGAATCAAGAGGCTTTCGATGATTACTTGGTGTGCGTGTGTCCGTAGGTAGAAGCTAGATGCGGCGCATGTGTTTTTTTCGTCCGGGGTTGTTCGAAAGAGAGTTTTGGCGAGTCCGAAGCACTGAATAAGC